GCCCCGCGGGTGGCGGAGCATCAAAGTCAGCCCACACGAGCGAGGGTGGGTCGGAGGGAGGAGCCCGTCCCGTGGTGGAGTAGAAGGGGCGTGTTTCATCAAAGATAACGTCGCGGCTCCGGACTAACTGTTGAATAGAGGGGTTGAGAAAGAGGTAGTCAGGGGTGTCGGCGTTGTGGCCGAGGTAGATGCATGTTTGAGTCTTGGGGACGAGCTTGCCGCCTTGCTGTCGCCGATTCTGAGGGTTGAGGAGGACATAGGCGGTGCACCTCCAGACACGAAGGGGGCGAGCAGTGGGTGTTTTTCCGAGGCAGATTGTGGTGGGAGTGGTGTTAGGAAGAAGCGGGTGGGGGTAGAGGTTGTAGAGGAGGGCGGCATGGTAGAGGGCGTACCCCCAGAGTGGGAATGGTGCATTGGAGTGACTGAGGAGGCAGCGAGTGATCTGCACCAGTATGTGATTGTGACTCTCCGCTCCGCTATTAGAGAGAGGGATACTATTCATGACGGCCGAGGGAGGGGAGCCGAAGTGGATGCCGCGTACGAAAAGGCCGATCGAGGTGGTGCTCGTGCTCGGAACCGAAAAGGAATGCTGCATACGGCTGCAATGTGGCGTCTCGGAATCGGAGAATTACGACGTCTTGGTGGGCATGGAGCTCGTCTACCGTGTTGGAGACACCATCTGTACATGGCAGGAGAAGGTACTCTACCACGTGCAATATTGGGACCCAGAAAGCTCGGTGGGCACGCTGCCCGTCAAGTTCGTCAGGCGAGAACCGCGGGAGGCATACCAGGCGCAGGATCTGAGTGAGGAACTGGATGAATGGTCATGGGAGAAGTACGGAGAAGAATACGAGAGAGAAGGGTGGAGAGGCGAGTGGCAGGGCAGGAGCCACCAGTCCTCAAGGAAAGAGTCAGCCGAGTGTGGACGCTAGAAAGGGCGATTTGCATAGTGGAGCTCTATGGAGGAATAGGCTCCAGACTCGCTGCGGTGTTATGGGCGGTGTGCATGGTCAAGAAATGAATTCATGTGGAGTGAGACCCCGCAGTGCGGAGGATGGCGAGGCTCCACGCACGAATGCTGCAGGAGGAATACCCGGAACAGTTGTGGGAATCGGCGATACCGCGAGAAGGCGAAGCCGAGGTGAACTATGTGAGAGACATCACAGAATGGGTGCTAGATGACTGGGGGCAGGTGGACTTGGTGGTGGCAGGATGGGAGTGCCAGGGATACGCAAGGGCGGGAGAAGGAAGAGAAATGGAAGGTGCTAGGGGCGCGTCCTTCCGGGATATGAGACGGGGCTGGAGATGATACAGAAAAATCAGGTGGAGGTGTTATACATCCTAGAGAACGTGGATTTGGCGGGGGACCACAAGGAGCCAGTCAAGCAAGCCTTTGAGAGATAGCAGAGGTGCTAGGAAGGGGGGTGCCAGCAAATGTCGCGCAGCTGGGCTCCAGGGCTCACCGACCTAAGAGGTACTGGCAGAACGGCGTCTCGACAGCATCACTGAGACACTCTCTGGCACAGATGCAGAGGCCGGAGCCTAGGCTCGTTAGCGACATCTTGGAACAGAACTGCCGACCTTGGTAGCCTACGAGGAGGCGAGGCGGACATAGTTAACGAAGCTGAGGAAACTCTGCAACTCCGTGATGTTCGTGGGCGGCTTCCACTCTGAAATGGCCGTCACTTTGCGAGGGTCAATTTTAATGCCCTCCCCTGAAACCACGTGCCCCAGGAACTCCAGCTCCGGCTGTAAGAACTCACACTTAGAGCCCTTAGTAATCAGTCGGTTCTACTCCAAGCGCCAGAACACCTCCTCTAAATCCCGTAAATGCTGCTCCCGAGTCTTGCTGTTCACCAGGATGTCGTCCAAGTAAACGACGACTTTTTTGTCCAGCATGTCCCGAAACACCCCGTTCATGGTGAGCTGGAAGGGCGTATTTGTCAACCCGAACGGCATGACCGTGTACTCGTAACTGCCGTAGCGGGTGCGAAACGCAGTCTTCAGGCAGGCAGTCATCCGGCGAACACGCGAATTTGATGGTAGCCACCTCGCAAGTCGATTTTCGAGAAGAAGCGAGCCCCGCGAAGCTCGTCCAGCAGGTCGTCCGCTTGCGGGATCGGGTAACGCGACTTTATGGTGATCCGATTCAGCGCTCGATAGTCGATGCACATGCGCAGGCCTCCGTCTTTCTTCGGCGTGAACATTATCGGGGCGGCGTAAGGTGACGTGCTCGGCTGGATAAAACCTTTTGAGAGCAGATAATCCAGCTGTTTCCGCAACTCGTCGAACTATACTGTGCCAATAGAGAGGGGAAGAGGAGATGGTGGTGACATTCGCGAGCCAGCTGCAATCCAGCCGAAGCAAACTACAGCTTCTACGAAGGAGAAGGCTTGGCAGCTGTATGGGCGATCACTCACTTCCGAATATACTTCTAGAGAAGGCCCTTCGAGCTGGTGATCGATCACCAGCCCCTGACCTGGCTGATGACCAATCAGGCCCTGATGGGCAGGAATGCCAGATGGGCAATGCGGCTCCAGGAATATGATTTCACCATCAGACACCGCCCAGGCAAAACCATGCAGCATGTGGATGGGCTCTCCAGGAACCCTCCGCCTGAAAGGCCAACCGCGTGCCTGGTGGCGCTGGCCAGAGAAGTAGATGGAGAAGGGGCCATGAAGATGCAGAAGTAAGGGGCAAAGGATATCTGGGAGGACGAGGAAGCACTAAAGTGGGTGCAAGGGAAGACCACAGAAGCACAACGGTGAGCGAGAGAGCCAGGGCACGAGGGGCACACTACCGCTGGTACCAGGAGCAGCTGCAGAAAAACACGAGCAATGGATGGAAGTTGGTGCCAAGGAAGGAGGAACGGAACCATACAATCCGTCAGGTTCACAGACAGCTGGGGCATTATGGAAGCCTGAGGACCACTTAGCTGGAAGAGACAGGGTGGTGGTGGGCGGGCATGAGGAGGGACATAAGAAACTGGGTGGAGTCGCGTGAGCTGTGCAGCAAGAACAAAGCGGAGCTGGAGAGAGGGAGAGAGGAACTGCAATCCCTACCCATCAAAGGGATAGGGTTGGTCACTGGATTTGGCTAGGGAAAATGTCGTTGAGCCGATAGGGGAAGCCGTACATCCTAATCATGATAGATTACGGCAGCAAAGGGGTGGAGGTGAAAGCCCTACCAAGCAAAAGCTCTGCAAGGATAGTTGAGGCATTCGAAGAGCAAGTATTGACCAGATTCGGAGCATGCGGAGAGGTCCTTATAGACCAAGGAACCGAGTTCATGGGAGAGTTCGATAAACTGCCGAGGGAAATGGGCATCACACATTGCAGGACATCAAGGTACCACCCCCACCCAAAGTGACGGTTTGACAAAGAGATGTCCAGACGGTGAAGCGGGGGTTCAGAGCGTATGGGGAGAGATTTAAGAGAGATTGAGATGCGAGGCTGCCATGGGTGGTCGCTGAATACCGGTTCAGCAAAACTACTTGCTGCTAGGCAGGGAGCCCATCCTACCTGTAGACGCCCCCAAGATACTATCAGCTTCATTCAAGGTGGACAGAGAAAAAGACTGGGTGGGCCTAGCTGAGGCCCAAGCACGGTACCTGAGAGAGCTATTGCCAGCCGCACTGGAGAACCTACACGTAGCACAGTTGAGGGACGCACAGAGAAAGGAGGCAGAAAGGGGGAGGACCGTAAAGGAGCTAGGGGCAGGGAAAGAAGTATATCTGAAGCAGGCGAAGGAAGATATGATGGACATCGGTCGGAGCTCAGAGAGATGGAGGGTGAAAGAAATGAAGGAGTGGGGAGTGCTGGTTCTGACCAGTGACAAGGAGCAAGAGAGGACCATCGCATGAACCTGGCACGAGCAAAGCCAAGAAGGACAGAAGGAGAAGGGAGAGAGGGGGATGAGCAGAGAGGGCAGAGGCAGCCAGGGAAAGAAGAAATCCATCGGCCAACACAGAAAGAGCATCCAGAGGGCCGAGGAGGGGGCAAGGGTATGGGCTGCTGAGAACAAGGGCAAGTGAAACCGAGAGCTGAGGGCCTTAAGAGTAGGACACTAAGGAAAGACATCAAGAGGATCACGAGCTCAGGAGACAAGGAAGCAAGAAGGAAGTGAAGATTCCGACACTGAGAAAATGAGCGAACCTGTTTGGTTCGACTCAAACCTGGTCTCTAGGGCAAGCCGTGTTTTGAGGGCTGAAATAACGAGTATACCCAAGTATTAGGGCTAGTGTGCGGTTAGGTTAGGGCTGGTCGATCAGAAACTGGACTGGTTCGAATCGAACCTACCCGAACCATCTCTGGCTCGGTTCAAACCTGCCCAGTCCAACCAGTTTTAGACGACCTTTGAACTGGGCAATCCTCTTTCTGGTTCGACTCAAACAGGTTTGGTTTGGTAGACTGCTCATGCCATCCCTTCTAGGGATGAGCAAATGAGCAAAACTGTTTGGTCGATTCGTACCTGTTCGAGTCGAACGCAAAACGTGTGTGTTTCAAACAATATACTGTTCGGGTCAAACATGTTCGCCTTAAACAGTCGAACCGTGTCGAACACGAACATGTTTGAGCGTTTGAAATGTAGAAATCGAGATTGAAGTGGAGCGTCAGTGGAAGGGGAGGGGCTCGAGGAGGAGGACCTGGAGGAGGCTGTGGAGGGGGTTGGAGGATGTGGACAGGGGTGATGGGGCTGTGGAAGGTGGGGGGGTGTGGTGGCTGCTCGAACCGAACACATTGAACACATTGGTGTTCGACTTGATCACTAAAGAGTTCGACTTGAACACTAAAGAGTATGACTTCAAATATGTTCTTCAAAATATGTTCAACCCAAACCGAACGTGTTCGGTTCGGGTAAGGGAAGTGTTCATCTGAGTTCAAGACAAACACGTTCGGGTTATGCTCATCCCTCTTATCTTAGTCTGGTCTAGTCCTGCAAACACACAAATGGACTCGGAACCATTCTTCCCCTGCATCCACCCCCTACACCACCGACAGCTCTCTCGATGCCAACATGTTGTCAGGATCTCTGCCCTCCTCGATCACAAAGCTCACTGCTCTTACTTTCCTGTAACTTGGTTCCTCTTCCACTTGAGCAACGGGTTGAACCGACCTTGCCCGGGCCGTTTGCTCAATCCTTCCATGTGCCTAAAAGTGTTGACTGGTATGCGGATTATGTCAAAATCTGAAAAAACGAAAATCCATAGTATTGTTTTCCTTGCAAAAAAAAGCCACTGCAATTTTTCCATTAGACAAAATTAAACGACCGTGGAAATATGTGATTATAGCGACTAGTCAGGACAATACGGACTTGAATTTGAGGAAGGCAAACCGCCAATGGCCAAATAGTCGGCCCATAAGCTGGCAAGGCTAAAAGTCAGCTTGACCCGAACTGACTGGACCTCGACCTGGTTTGGCTCTCTATTAGGCTGGTGACGTTTGAATCAGGTTGGCCCAGATTTGACTCCTTCTGCTCATGTCAAATCTCATGCCGGTATCAGCACGTTACCTACCTTCTCATCCATTTGTCCAACTCCTTGCACACCCGCCACGTGTCTCTTGCCTCCTTGTCGTGGACAGTTCCCTCTCTAACAACCAACTCACCAACTCCATCCCCGCTGACATTGGCTTGCTGACCAATCTGGTATCCTTGTACGTAGGGATGAGGTTCGGCCCAGGTTGAACCAAGCCAGGTCGGCAAGATAATCGGGCGACTGGTTCGGCCTGATCCGGGCTGGCCGAGCAGTCCCTTGGCCCGGGTTCGGTAATGAGTACCCCGGCCATTCCTTTGTGGCCCGAATCACTTTCGAAATTTCTCAAGCTATAACGTTCTTGACTAAGCTTTTGAACCCACTTTGGAGAATCATCAGCATTTCTCTCCTCATCCTAGTGTATGACCTCCGAAGAGTCATCTTGAAAAACGAATTTGGCCGACTACCGTTAGGCAGGAGTCACTGCCCTTGTGCTCGCCCATAGTCAAACTCCATCTTTTGTTTCTTTCTTGCTGCATCTGGATGCAATGACAGGGCCCTTCAGAATAACCAGCTCACGGGTTCAATCCCTGCAGAAATTGGTTCACTACGTCGTCTAACATACCTGTAAGGCTCCTCTCTGCCGCATGAGCATAAGTCCAGGCCGTGATGAGCCGGCGGCACAACAAACCGGGGCCGGCAGCTCACCCGGCTCGTGGCTCGTCCGTCGTGGGCGAATTGGTTGAGCCAGGACGAGCTGGCTCCTACTTTTATAAGCCGGCGGATACTCGTGGATGAACAATGCCCGTTGTCACCACCTCTTGAACTCGTGCACGTCTGACTTCTTCCCGCCAGATCCGCGTGGACGGGGGTAATATTCCCACGTCTAATGACAAGCCTGTAAAGCGCGCGCACGGTTCAGACCTATGCTAATTTCTACTCCCTACTATCATCACTTCAGACTTTTTGGGGTTTGAATTTTACCTGTTGAATACTTGATGCGGCCATTTGACGGGTCAAGTGGGCCCCATTTCAGGTCAAGAAGAAGGCAGGCGCTCATTTTCACATTCTCCTTACAGCTCTAGATTCCTGAACCAAATTTCAGGAGAACTCATCAGCATTCTTCTCCTCATCCTATGTGATATCCGGAGGCTCATATCGTTGGGCAAATCGCTGATCCGCGCGGGTTGACGGGCGAAATCGCCGATCCGCGCGGATTGACGGGCAAAATCGCCCATCCGCACGGATTGACGGGCAAAATCGTCGATCTGTGCGGATTGACGGGCGAAATCGCCCATCCGCGCGGATTGACGGGCAAAATCGCCGATCCGCGCGGATTGACGGGCGGAATCTCCCGCGAGTAAGAAAAAACTCGTCGAGCACGTAATCTCCACGAAAATGCTCGTCCCCCAAGGCGAGCATGCGACGAGTAAATAAAACTCGTCGAGTAAAACTCGCATCGCCTCGGGCGAGTTTTTTCCCAAAATAGCAGGCTCGTCACTCGACCCCCAACGAGCATTTTGAGCGAGTCGAATAAAAGCCCTACCCTCGCTGCCCATGTATACGCTTCGCCCTAGTAAACTGTTCGGGGACGTTTGGGCAAATAGGATCTAGCGCGCAAGGATTAGGTTAGCGTGGATGCTGCAGCATGGAAGTGAGAGGGCAGATTGGGCTTAAAAGGTTCATTGTGGTACGGTGGGGCTTGGGTGGGGTGAGCTGGTTGGGTGAAATTGGCAAAATCAGTGCCAAGACCAAACTCTGTAAGTAACCGAACCGGTTCACTACCGAGCCGAACTGGTTCGTTCAAGAACCAGTTTGCTTGGTGCAGGTTCGTGGTTCGTTAAAATCTTAGTGGGAATATACGCTCAGAACCTAAAGCGTATAGCGTATATACGCTTGCGTTCATACTCAAAACGCTATACGCTAGCTAATACGCTATACCTTTCAGATTTTCAAAAAGTGGAAATCCCACCTTTTGAGTACATCACATGATCAACTATATTTGGGTTAGGGTGAAATACACAGAAGAAGCATTCAGTCAACGTTTAGTTTAGAGGATGGCTTTTGTTTTTGGCTATGGATTAGAGTGAGGTAGAAGCATTGTCAACAGAGAGAATGGAGTGTGAGCCAATGGTGTCCCCAAAGTTGTAAGGTGGTCAATCACAAAATTGTAAGTTGTTTCCAGATTTTACATCTGTCATTTTGCTAAGGCTTGTCTATTCCTGCCCACTAACTATTCCAATGAAGCTGCATATGCACCTTCTTCTACTCGTCCCGTTCTCGTCTGTACCACCCTCCAGTCCCCAGGGACCCTTGCGGCCAGAGGAGCTTCAAGGGCGATGGTGACCTGCAGCCCAGCATGAACCCGTGTGGGCGGTTCACATGCCAGGCTATTCTATGGAACAACAGCAACTCATGTGACTGTTCTATTCCCAACGAGTCTAAGCAGCCATTTGTTCAAGTTGCAAACGGATATGGCTCCCAAACGTGTGCTTACTGTAAGTTGTTCGATTCAGGTTCTCAAATGATAGCTTGAATCCATGTCCGTTGTCAGAACAATGGTCATTTTCAGAACAACGGGCTTCTTTGATCTTCAGATATTCTTTCACCCAAGCCATTGTCTACATCCTTTTCGAGTTCTATCTCTCCAATCCCCACCCCCTCACTCTCCCATTGCTCCCAACGCATATATCTCCTAACGCTGTGCTCCACAATTGTGTTTGTGTCGCTTGGCAGTGGATGTGTGTGGGTCTGACTTGAAGAACCCGTGCTACGTGGGCGCATGTATCAACGACGCCAAGGGCTCCTACTCCTGCATCTGTCCTCCCAACTACGTTGCAAGCACAACCATTGACAACTTCCCCACCTGCGACCCAGGTGCTGCTGCCTGGGCTTCGTTTGCAGGAGGGTCGCTGCTTCTTTCGCTTATTCTTGCATGACATGTTGGGATCGTCTCCACCCCTGCAAACTACTTCCACTGTCCACCCATGTTATGCACACACACCTAATAGGTTTGTTTTGGGTGTGTTCCCCTGCTTTCACATTCGTCCTTTCCAGCCAATGTCACAGCCAGCACCCTGGTAGTGAGTGGAAGCAACTGGTGGTGCTCTAATGTTCTCCCTATTGTGGGCCTCTCACTTGCCGAATTCACGCAGCAGAATGTGGTAAGCAGTGGAGATGGAAGGATGCAAGAGTGGAGAGACAGGCATGGCTAGTGATCGATCAAAGTTGTTTGTTCTTCAGAAGAGAGTTCTACACATTATTATATAATCTTCAACGTGTCAAATGAAGTCCATTAGAAAATCAATGTCGCTACACCTACACTTAACAGCTTAAGTTTTCTCTGTCTATTTTTTTGCCGACTCATCATGCAAACGGTATGCCATCCCCTGAACGGTTGATTGAAAAATTTCCTGCGTTCCTCACTGCAGGGCATTGACTGCAATCATGCATTGCCTCGTAACATGGTGCTTCAGCTGGGAAGTCCTCTCCTCGTTCCCTGCACTGCGTTCTTCTACACGCTCAGTGTGAGAATTAGCCCTTTTATATTTTCTTTGTTGTATGGAATCTCATCAATCATTCCTCTATATTCCCCACTCCACTTTGCTTAGCTCTGCAAGACTGTCACGTAGTAAAGCTGCACTCCATTCACATCAGGCTCCTGTGACTTCTCTCCCGTTGCTCCACCCTCCAGGGCGACACATACTGGTCCATCAGCGCCCAGCTGTTCCTCACCACTAGCAACCTCACCACACTCAATCCCGGCCTCGACTGCTCTGAGCCCATCAAGGCGGGCCGCTCTCTGTGCATCGAGCGCAACGCCACCTTCGCCTACACTGTGCCTCGGTGCCTGCAATATGGCGTGCTCACAGCACAGGACACGTGTGAGCGCCTGCTGCTGCAGGTGGCGGGGAGTGAGGACGACCCATTGGGGGCTGGGAAGGAGAACGCTACACGCTGGGCTGAGCTGTACCGCAACAATCCCGGCCTCATCTGCTCGAGTGTCATCCCAGTATCCGCCTCTGCTGTTGGCAGCAACACTGGCGTGCAGGTGAGGGGTGGAGGGGAACTGGGTTGGGGGCGCAAGAGATGGGAAGAAAATGGATTGAAAATTGGTGGGTGAACCGAACGTATATTTGATGTGTGAGGGGGCAAGGAGTCATTTCTCATATACCAGAGAGTGTTTTTCCAACTTTTTGCCCTGCATTGTTCTTTGAGTGTTTGCTATTTTTTTCTCTCAATACATCTTTGCTTTCTTTGTTGTGATGCTACCGTTTCAGGTTTGCCTAAGAGCAGAGTATTGGCCATTCGTTGTTGGCATATGCAAGAAAGGCAGGCAAAAACCAGTGTCACCGTCACTGACATGCTCGGGTGCTTACAGTTTCTATGGTGGAGCTGCGAATGGGGCAATTTCAAAATATTATATGTACAATGAGAAGAAGTGTGTTGGTAGTGTAGGGTCCAAGTTCATTTGTGTGCCATGATTTCTTTTGGTTATAGACTTCTGTGTTCGTATCGTAAGATGAACTGCATTGTCGTGAATTTGATGCATAATAAAAATGCTTCTGGCAAGGCTGACTCTCTATCAGACTATCTGATTTTTTGTACTATTTTCCTAGGAACCCTGTATTTTCAGAGTTGCCGGATTTTAAAACATGAATACTCCAGGCTTACCACACTTTTTGTTGAATACTGGAAAATTTAGTTAGTGACTGTTGAAACGGCTACTAACTTGAGGCTTAGGAGTCATGGCGTGACTAGCGTGAGTTGCGTGAGAGATGAGAAAGGGGGTTTGTTCAAAAAATCAAGGTACAAGATATAGGTGGCACAGGGGGTACACCACCAACAGAAAACCTAGATGATACTACATTAACTGTCTAGCATGCAATTATATATTCAGCATCCTCCCTTAACTGCATGTAAGACTAACTAGTGAGAAGAGCTCTACCCAAAGTGCTGAAGTTACCGAGCAGTAGCGGGTGCCACTGTGCGCGTCGGAGGCGACCACGTCCGGAAACGACGGTCTCATTGTGGTCACGAGAAATAGTAGGAGGAGATGAAGAGAGGTGCAGCGGAAGAGAGGAGGATTGGCGGCTGCCTTCACATACCTGCCATCCCCACACCCTCACTTCCCCCACCCCTTCCCCCCTCCCCAATGCGGCACGCACTGGAGATGCAGGGGCAGCAATGAGGAGGAAAGGGAGGGGCGGGGGGTTCAAGGGGGCTTCAGCACCCCCATTTTCACGGCCTCCAGCCCCGCTACCTCTCCCCCCTCCCCCCCACCCCAAAACTAATGTCACAGGTGGGGCGTGAAAGGGCGGTGGGCAAGGCACTGGCACCCCGCCTCCATTGGCATGCCGCTGGCGGAGGCGGGGGCGCATGCACAGCTGTGCGTGGGCAGCAGAGCGTATGGAGGCGTGCACGCGCAGCTGCGGCTGCTGAACGGGACGGGACGGAAGCGTGGCAGCGCGTGGAGTTGCGCGTACGGCCACACGCGCGGCTGCTGCTGCTCGTAATTGGGGCAGGGCAGTGCATGGGGCTGCACACGCTATTACGTGTGCGGCTGCTACTGCTCGTAATGGGATGGGGGCGGGGCAGTGCGGAACAGGGCGGGTAGCGCGGGGCGGGTAGTGTGGGGTGGGCAGCTATCAAGTTCTGCTTCGAGCGCCTTTACAGGCGCCATGATAGAAAACGGTGGGCCCATGGGAATGAACTCACTCTAATACCATGTTGAAATAGCTAATAACTTGACAGGCTTAGGAGCCATGGTGTGACTAGCATGAGTAGCGTAAGAGATGAGAGAAGGGGTTTTCATTAGAAATCAAGGTACAAGATATGGTGGCAAAGGGTACACCACCAACAGAAAACCTAGATGATACTACACTATCTAGCATGCAGTTATGGATAAATATAAATTCAACAGAAAATGAGTCTTCACCCTGCATTGCGTCCACATCCCTCACCTGGTGGCTTCACACTATATCGCACACAGGTGCATAGTTGTTGCATTGAACTGCTTTGTTTGTCACTTTGATTACGTCGGCGTCAATGTGGTCGCTTGGAATGTCACGAATGCTGCCGCGAGAGGTATCCAAATTTGGGTCTTCTTCCATGGTTGAGTGTATTTAAGCACTTCCGTAGTTGCGTTGAGCTTGTAGTGCCTCATCTGGGCCGGTGTTGGTTGGAATGAATGTCACGTTGTTGCGCTCTTCTGTAACGGAAATGATGGGTGCCTCGCCTTCGATTTGATTTTCTGGCACTCGTTCTGCCACTTGAACTTCGTCCTAATCACTTGCAAAGCTGTGCTCTTCCTAGAAGATGTTGCTTGGTGCTTGCTGTGCAGTGCGGTGCTGACGAAACAGTGGCAGTGTGAGTCTTTTGTAGAAGATGTAGTCACGTTAACTCATGACTTGGTGGGTGGCAAAGTCGAAGGTGGTCCATGCATGGTACTCTGGTTCGATGCCGAGGTGGATGCCCCACCTTGTGCGATCCTCAAAATCTCATGTACGGGCAGTGTGGGGCTGGTAATGTACCATACAGCCAAAGACACTTAACATTTGTGTATCCGGCTTTTCCCGCGTCCACTCCTTGAATGGCGAGTTAGTGTTGGGCAGGGTCTTTGAAAACAGGATGTTGTGCAGTCGCACGGCATGGGCCATCGCGCAGGGCCAGTGCGTGGTTGGCACTGCTAAGTGCTTCATGAGGGCTCTCATTTTGTCGCGAGCTCCTATTCGTTCTTTCAGCCAAACCCTGCTGCTCGTGAGTGTAGGGCAGCAATATCATCCTCTTAATCCCTTTCTTTGAGCAAAACTTCCTGAACCTCTCGCTGGTCTATTCACTTGCTCCGTCTATCTGGGTTTCTTGCCCTTGTATTGTGTCTGTGCCATTTTCAACCATAGATAGAAGCAATCGAAGACGAGTTTGCGAATGGAGGCTATTGCGGCCCAAACAAACCGCATAACTACGTCGATGAAGGTAATAGTATAGTGATCCCCTTTAAGTTCACGAACGATGAGACACAAAAAATCGCTGTAGACTTTATCCAGTGGCTTGAATCATTCAGTGCCATTAACTTTCCTTGGAAAGGGTTTGTGTGCCAGGGCCGCTTTTGGACAGACGGTGCATGTAGGTACGTCTGTTCTTGATTGAAGTGTATTTCCATTTGGCAGCAGCAACACGACTTCCACAAACACTTTGGCATTTATCAAATTGCTAAGAGCTTCAACGGATGGATGTCGCAGCCAGTAGTGCCAAATGTCTGCTTCAGCGTGATATCTGCATGTGCAAGCATACAGTCGCTTCTTTGGTGTTTCCAGGATGCCGAGTAGTGCCGTCCCAACCTTCTCCAGCATCAGCGGTTTGCCCGGATGGAGGTCCCTAGCCTGTTCCGCGTGTTGCTCATTCGACGTTTGCCGTGTCCCTACCGGTGGCCACGTCCCGACCCGTAGGTTGATCAAGTCTTGGCCAGTAGGTTCCTTGTTCCCATCCACCCTGTCTCATGACTTCTTCTTCAACTGCTTGTGGTCACGTGTCTGCAGAGTTCGGAGTTGAAGCGACGGGAACAGCGGGCAAGTGGCATAGTCCGTCTAGGCCTGGTCTTCGCACATATGTTTCAACATGATGAGTCCAAGTGGGCGGCGAAGGCTGTCCTAGCGGTTCAAGGACGAGGATGCGGTCTCTGTCGCCCATGTTTCCAAGTGAGTCGAAGCTTAGCACGAACGTGCCGTTCTCGCTTCTTGCTTTTCCGATGAGAGTACCTTTGTAAATCAAATGACATACCATTTCGTGTGAGTGAAGCTGGACACCACAGTTCATCAACTGGGCGGCAGAGAGGAGATTGAAGCGAAGACTCGGGACCACGAGTACATCGCTGATGTGAATCGAGAAGTTCTTGTCCTTAGACTCGAGCTGAATTTGTCACGACTTCTAGCCCATATCGATTGATTATTTTTGCGACGGTAATCTCCACGTCGCTGATGAGCTCTTTGTTGTTGAGGATGAAGTGGTTGGAGGTGACCATGTGTTTACCGCAGCAGCTGTCTAGGTACCATTTATTAATGTCATGATTTTTCTTTGCGAATTTCATGATGAGCGGTATGATATGATGCTCCACATCTGGGTCTTTCTCATAGTCCCATCCTTCGTCGACTAATGCGATGCTTGCAGGAGGTGATTTAGCAATCCATTGTGGAGCTTCTTAGTCAAAACGGATTCGCCCAGCTGTCAACCCTGTCAAAAGTCGGATCGATGTCTACTTCTACCCCTGAAACATGTCTTCCCGGCAGCAGAAGTAGCGATAGCAACGGCTGATTTGGGGTAGTCCACGACGCAACATGCAAGTTATCATCTTGCTCTTGCCTTCGTTGTTGTCGGCAGGATGTGCGCATGAGCCTGTGAAATGCTGGCGACGGCAGGTGGGGATATGGTTTGGTTGCGCATTGGCGGTCCAGCGGCTTGTTGATAAGGTGTTGTTCCTAATTGTTGTTGTTGTCGCCTTCTGCTCCTTTGCACTTGTAGCACTGCTTGATGGCATGTCTCCTCTTCTTGTAGTACTTGCAGAATATATTTCTTTTTTCCGGTGATGCTTTTGTGCTTCCCATGTAAACGGTGATTGTCTCCTTCTTGTTGCCTCTTTTGTTGTAAGGTTGATCTCCAGCTGTTTAGTGAGGAGAGTAGCGCAGAGCGAGGTTTCGGAGATTGCGCCCTGAGCGCGAAGAAATGACTTATACTGATGCCATTCCGGACCCAGGCCAGTGAGGATGATCATCACAAAAATATCGTTAAGGAAGTGTCTGCCGCTCTTCTTGAACTGATCCTTTTGGTTTCTGCAGCGGTTGATGTAAGCTCCTACCTTATTACCAGGAAGCATTCTGACGTCGTTGAGCTGGCTTAGTAGACGACTAAGTGTCACTGAGTCCGTTGCCATGTACATTGTGCGCAGGTAATCCCAACACAGCTGTGCAAGCGCCCAATGGTTTTTAAAGGAGCGGATACCGAGCAGAATAAGTCTGCTAGAGTAATCTGAAGAAGTTTTTTGTAAAAAGAACCCTGATCATAGTGAATGTAAATGATATGTCCTAGCTAGCACGTACTTTGAGGGGAACATTCCCTTTTTAACGGTAATACATGTATCGATACAGTAGTAGTGACTAAACAATCCTGACAGTTACGTCGTCGCAGCTTGTTATCTCCCGAGACTGTTGCGACAGTTGAAGCAGGTGGCCACCTTCTTGTCCATGTCGTTCAACAGTCGCGACAGATGACCCACGGCTGTTGACATGTGTGCTCTATATGAGCTAACGCGGTAGTTGTACATGTGTTGCGTCGCTGATAGAAGGTGGGGTATTGTTACACCTTATGGAATGCAAAGGTATTTTTCAAATTACTCGAACACATACTACCATTTAAGGTTACTTGAAAGGAACTTTCAACCTTGTAGCATGTGAACAAGCCCTTTATACTGGATTTGTGAAAGACATTGTCTCTAGAACAAGATCCACATTACCTATGGTAGTTGTGACCGCTTACAGGCCAAGACCTATTGGCTCTCATCCTATGTATTGATTATTTGAGCGGTATGGCACCAATTTCCCACTGCATATATGAATTTGAAGCTGGTTCAAATAAGGCTACATTTGTAGCTGGGTTGGGTATGGTACATTGTTTTGTTGCTATTGGAGGAGAGTAAAACAGCGTAGAGAACTCAGGTTTAGGGCTTCGATTCATATGTTAGTGAAGCGATACATGTCACAACGCTAATTGGTAAGCTAACATAGGGGCAAAAATATGGTTATGTGCTGTTTAGAAGACACTCTAATTGGGTCTCATAAGGGTCTCTTATGTAAAGGGAACTTCAGTTTGTAAGAAAACACCCGTATTGAAGACACCCCTGATTTCAATTCAGAAAATTTGCTACCGTATCGCCCCGGATATAAACGCAGGCCTATTAAAAGCGCATGCGCTTCTATCTGGAGCAATGCTTTATGGCAGATCCTCAATTATAAGCGCACCCCCTGTAAAACCTTGATTTATTATAAGCGCATCCTAATTTAAAAATTTCAAACGTGTCAAAATACTGTAACGATTTTCACTTTAGCAGGCTGATACTTTTCAAATTCGGTTCTGTCCAGTTCGAACCCTGCACAGGCTGCGAGTCCAGTCAGCATGAGCTGTCAGGGGTGTTAAGAACTAAGGCAAGAATGATGAGATTAGGTCAAGGTTGGGGTACAAGGCTAGAGTGTCGAGAAAGTTTCTGTTGTCAAACTTATATGATCTAGCCTGTGTAGGCTGTAGCGGGTTAGACAGTAAGGGGTACACAATTCTAGGGTTTCATATTTGTATCACTTTCATTCCTTAGTCAATCCATTCTCGTTCTAAGTTTCTCATGGTATCGAGCAGGTTCCCTCGTGGGAACTGTTCCTAGGGCCCACCAAGATTTTTTTTTTCTACCCGGGGCGCGTGCCGCCCCTGCCCGAAGCGCGCCTAGTGTCCCGCCCTTAGCGACCCGTCGCGCCCT